CGTGAACGTGTACGTCCTTCTTTCGCTCCTGAGGAAGGAGGGAGGTGCGAATACGTTGAGGTTAAACTTAACACGGGTTTGCAAAAACAGCAAAGTTAACATCCTCGGTTGTCGCGTATATATAACAGCTCCGAGGCGTGGCAGAAAATAAAACTAGGACTGAAAAAGCTAAAAAAGGCGCAGCGACGAGGCATGAAACAAACAAGGTCTTTGCTAGCAGGATGAAGCACAACGAAATGTTGTGGGTGCCCTCGGCATTGCATTCTAGTTCTGCAAGGAATTACCGCCCGTGGCTGTGCCGGCGGTTTTGCTGGTGATTGTGCTGGTGATTGCGCTGCTGCTGGTTGTGCTGGTGGTTGCGCTGATGATTGTGCTGCTGGTTGTTCCTGATGGTTGTGCTTCTAGTTGTGCTGGTGGTGGTTGTGCTTGTGGTCACGCTGGTTGTTGTGCGGGTGGTTGTGCTGGTGGCTGCGCTGGTGGTGGTTGTGCCAGTGGTGATGCTGGTGCTCATGCTGGCGGTTGCTGGTGGTTGTGCTGGTGGTTGTGCGGGTGGTTGTGCGGGTGGTCGCGCGGGTGGTTGTGCGAGTGGAAATGCTGGTGGTTGCGCTGGTGGTTGTGAAGGTGGTTGTGCGGGTGGTTGTGCTGGTGGTTACGCTGGTGGTGATTGTGTTGGTGGTTGCGCTGGCGCTTGTGTGGTGGATGTGCTAGCAGTCGTGCTGGTGGTTGTGCCGGTGGTTGTGCTGGTGATCTTGCTGGTGGTTGCTGGTTGTCGTGCGGGTGGTTGTGCTTGTGGTTGCGCTGGTGGTGGTTGGCCTGGTGGTTGTGTTGGTGGTTGTGCTGGTGGTTGTGCTGATGGTTGTGCTGGTGTCTGGGCTGGTGGTCGTGCGGGTGGTTGTACTGATGGTTGTGCCGGTGGTTGTGCTGGTGGTTGTGCCGGTGGTTGTGCCTGTGGTGGTTGTGTTGGTGGTTGTGCTGGTGGTTGTGCTGGTGGTTGTGCTGGTGGTCGTGCTGGTGGTTGTGCTGGTGGTTGTCCGAGTGGTTGTGCTGGTGGTTGTGCTGGTGGCTGTGCCTGTGGTTGTGCTGGTGATCCTTCGGGTGGTCGCGCTCCAGGGGTGGTGCTGGTGGTTCTGACTGTGGTGGTTGTGCGGTTGGTTGTGCTGGTGGTTGTGCTAATGCTTGTGCTGGTGGTCGTGCGGGTTGTTGTGCGGATGATGGTGCTGGTGGTTGTGCTGGCAATCGTGCTGGTGGTTGCACGGATGGCTGTGCGGGGTTGTGCTGGTGGTTGTCTCGGTGGTTGCTCTGGTGGTTGTGCGAGTGGTTGTGCTGGCGGTCATTGTGCAGATGGTCCTACGATTGGCTGTGCTGGCGGTCATGCTACTGGTCGTGCTGGTGGTTGTGCTGGTGGTTGCGCTTGTCTAGTGCTGGTGATTCTGCTGGTGGTTGTCGTGGTGGTTGTGCTGGCAGTTGAGCTGGTGGTTGTGCTGGTGGTTGTGATGGTGGTGATGCTGGTGGGAGTGCGGGTGGTTGAACGGGTGGTTGTGCAGGTTGTTGTTGTGCTGGTGATGTTGTGCTGGTGGTTGTGCGAGTGGTTGTGCTGATGGTTATGCTGGTAGTTGCGCTTGTGGTTGCGCTGCTGGTGGTTGTGCTGGTGGCTGTGATGGTGGTAGCGCTCGAGGTGATTGTGCGGGTGGTTGTGCGTGAGGTGGTCCTGGTGGTTGTGCTGGTGGTTGTGCTGGTGGTTTCGCGGGTGGTCGTGCTGGTGGTTCTGCTGGTGGTTCATGGGGTGATTGTGCTGGAGGTGGTGTTGGTGATTGCGATGATGGTTGTGCTGAAAGCTGTGCTGGTGGTTGTAAGGGTCCTTGTTCTGGTGGCTGCGCTGGTGGTGGTCGTGATGGTGGTCGTGCGGGTAATTGTGCTGGTGGTTCTGCTGGTGATTCTGCTGGTTGTTGTGCTGGTGGTTGTGCTGGTGGTGGATTTGCTGTTGGTTGTGCGGGTGGATGTGCTTGTGGTTGCGCTAGTGGTTGTGCGGGTGGTTGTGCTAGTGGTTGGGATGACGGTTGTGCTTGTGGTGTTCGCGCTGGTGGTTGTGCGGGTGGTTGTGCGGGTGGTCGCGCGGGTTGTTGTGCGAGTGGTAATGCTGGTGGATGAGCGGGTGGTTGCGCTGGTGGTGGTTGTTCGGGTGGCTGTGCCGTTGGTTGGCTGGTGGATTTGCTGGTGGTTGAGCGGATGATTGTGCTAGTAGTTGAGCGGGTGGTTATGCTGGTGGTGATGCTGGTTGTTGGGTTGGTGGTGGTTGTGCGGGTGGTTGTGCCGGTGATTGTGCCGGTCGGTGGATGTGGTGGTTGTGCTAGTGGCTGCGCGGGTGGATTTGCTGGTGGTTGTACGAGGCTGGTCGTGCTGGTGGATGTCATGGTGCTGATTGTGCGGGTGGTTGTGTTGGTTGTTGTGCGGGTGGTGTTGCTAGCTGGTGGTTGTCGTGCGGGTGGTTGTGCGGGTGGTTGTGCTGATGGTTTTCGTTTGGTTGGTTGTGCTGGTGGCTGTTATGATGGTTGTGCTGATGGTTGCGCTGGTGGTTGTGCTGTTGGTTGTGCTGTTGGCGGCTGTGTTGTTGGTTGTAGTGCTGGCGGTCGTGCGGATAGTTGTGCTGGTGGTTGCGCAGGAAGTGGTCTTGCGGGCGGCTGTGCGGGTGGTCGTGCGGGTGGTGGTTGTGCTGGTGGTTGTGCTGGAGGAGTGTGGTGGTTGTTGTGCTGGCTGTTTTGATGGTGGTCGTGCTGGTGGTTGTGCGTGGTGTTGTGCTGGTGGTTGTGCGGGTGGTTATGCTGTTGGTTGTGCTTGTGGTGGTTGTGCTTGTGGTGGGTGTGCGGGTGGTTGTGCTGAAAATTTGTGTTTGCGGTTGTTTGGCTGACGATTGTGCGGGTGGTTGTGCTGGTGGTTGTTGTGGTGGTGGCTGTGCGAGTGACCGTGCTGGTGTTTGCGCTGGTGATTGTGCTGGTGGTTGTGCTTGAGGGGTGTGCTGGTGGTTGTTGGGCTGGCGCTTGTGCGGGAAGCTGCGGTGCTGGTTGTAATGGTGTTCGTGCGAGTTGTTGTGTTGGTGGCTCTGCGGGTGGATGTGCTGGTGGTAGTGGCTCGGGTGGTTTGTGCTGGTGCTCGTGCGAGTGGTTGTGCTGGTGTTTGTGCTGGTGTTCGTGCGGGTGGTTGTGCTGGTGGCTCGTGGTTGTGCTGGTGGTGGTTGTGCTGGTGATTGTGTTGGTGGTCCTGCTGGTGGTTGTGCTGGTATGTGTTGGGCTGGCGATTGTGCGGATGGTTGTGTGAGTGGTTGTGCTGGTGGTGGCTGTGCGGGTTGTCGTGCTGGTGGCTGTGCTGTATTGGGGGGTTGTGCGGGTGGTTGTGCGGGAGGTTGTGCTGGTGGTTGTGCTTGTGGTTTTGCTGGTGGTTGTGCTGGTTGTCGTGCTCGATGTTTTGCTGCTGGTGGTTGTGCTGGTGGTTGTGCCTGTGGTTGTGCTGGCTGTTTTGCTGGTGGTTGTGTGAATGGTTGTGCCGGTGGTAGTGCTGATGGCAGTTGTGCTGGTGGTTACCCTGGTGTTTGTGCTGGTGTTCCAACATGTGGCTGTGCTGGTGCTCGCACGAGCAATGACCGCCAACACGACCCGCCATCACAATCGCCAGCCCAACAATCACCAACACAACCCTCAAGCACAACCAGCACCAGCAAAACAATCACCAAGAAAACCACACCCCAGCAAAAAACAAACACAGCGCAACCACCATCGCAACCAGCAGCGCGACCACCATCGCAACCACCAACACAAACACAAACACGACCAACAGCACAACCACCCGCACAACCACCATCACAGCAACCAGCACGAACACCAGCACAACCAAAAGCACAACCACGAGCACAACCAGGGACGCAACCACCAACAGCAAAACATCGAGCACAACCACCAACACAACCACCAACACAACCACCAGCACAACCAACGACGCAACCACCAGCAGCAAAGCCTCGAGCACAACCACCAGCACAACCACCAACACAATCATCAACACAACCACCAACGTCACCACCATTTCAACCACCAACAGAATCACCAGCACAACCACCCGCACAACCACCAGCACACCAGCATGACCACGCACAACCACCAGCAGAATCACCAACACTACCGCCAACACCGACAACGGCACAACAACCACCGCGACAACCCGCACAACCACCAACACACCAACCGACGCAACCACCTCGGCAACCACCCGCACAACACCCAGCATAACCACCAGCAAAACCACCAGCGCAAAAACCAGCGCAACCACCAGCACGGTCACCCGCACAACCGCCACCAGCACAACCACCAACACAACCACCCGCACAACCAACAACACAACCACCATCGCAACTACCAGCACAGCCACCCGCACAACCACCAGCGTAACCACCAGCACCACCACCCTGCACAACCAACAACACGACGATGTCATACACATCGTCATGTTTGAAAACTAAGTCTTTGAGTAGGACTCACGCGACGATCCCATGGCATGGGACAAAACAAATAATGTTACAAACATGATTTGAACGTAGGTCCGCGAGGCTGAGGCCGGGCATGCCGTCCTAGTTCGCTGAACTCCATGTACAGTGAGGGCATCGAAGCAGGAACCCTTTGATAAGGAACCAGGGGTCTGGAAGCCGGTGGGATTTCAAACGTGGATCTGCCATGAATACCAGCGCCACCCACATCCGATAAGGAATCTTCCAGGGTCTTCAACCTCCTGGGAGCATTCCTTCACGAACGCCCCCATCAGAAGGGGGAGGAACATTGACCTGGAATCGGAGATGTACCGCCGACGGAGCGGCGACAAGTCCCCGAGAGCGAAGACGCAGGCTCCGATCGCCGATGAGTGGGCGATTGGGGGAATGACGCTTCCCCCTGGCTGCGGCTGTGCTGGCCAAACCTGCTGCCCACCGACGCCGGCCGAACAGAAGAGCGCCCCCCGGCCTGGATCTCAGCCTCCTTGGCGGCCTTGAGCTCCTGCAAGAGAACGTGACGGCAGAACCAGCGGTGCGATGACACGTAGCATCAAAGGAATATGCTTGCACTTGTACCTTCACTCTGTAACAGGTTGGAAGGCCCTCGATATTCCTGAGGGGCCCTCGACAAGATGCGATCGACGGATTTGCTCAGATGGGATCGTGGGGGGCCAATGGGTCAGATCCCCCTTACAAGCCGCTTCCTCACAAAACGTTCAAAAGTTGCTTGCAACCGCAATCTCGTCGAGACAATCTGCCAGCGCGGGATCACTGATCCTGTATCGCAGGAAAAGCTTGAGCTGGGACGCTCGGCATCGTCACGTGCTGCTTGCATTAGGTCGATCGGACTTGGTCATGTCCAACGAGAAGGACGCCCACAGAGCCCGGTGGAAGACGCGAGGCGCAAGATGTCCACAACCAGTGCGTGCTGTGTCGAAACGTCAGTATCCGGCTTGTTTGCTCACTCATAGAGCGTAGCTGACGAGAATAATGGCGATTACGTTCCTCTGCTTGCGAATTCGAGACGCAATCCTCGAAAGCCTTGGCGTCGCTCAGCGCGTCCTTCTGCGTCTCGGAGAGGTTCGACTCGAATGTTTCCTGGCGGCCGAACGCGCCATCCACTTGCTGAGCTAGAGACCAAGCAGGCGACGAGGGCAATACGCACAGGCATACCTGCACGGCGACAATTGGGAAGAGGCCGCAGCTCCCCAAGGCTACCCACCATCCCCCGCCGACATCGCACGCTGGCTGAGGAGTGCCCCGATTGGAGTGGCTTGGATGATGATCAAAATGCTGACAACGATGAGGCTGACAATGATAATGCTAATGATGACACTGAGGATGATCCGGATCATCATCATAACCACCATCATCACCGTAGCATCTCCCTCGACCTCATCAGCACCAGCCACATCAACACGATCATATCATCACACTTGTCACTATCAGAAATCTCGCCGTCATCGCATAATCATCGGCAGCAGCATCAGCACTAACGTCAGAAGGGGCGGCATCAGCATCATTCATGGAAACATCAACACACTCATCATCTCATCATTATTCGCAACAACATGATCTGCGTCATCATCGACATCGCATTAGCAGCACCGTCATTATCATCATGACAATCAGCATCAGCACCGTCATCTCATTATCAACGTCACCATCGTCAACGGAACTATCACCTTCACCACCATCATCACCATAATCACCACCATCATCATCATCACCAGCAGCATCAACATCATCATCACCATCAGCATCAGACATAAACCGCATCATCACCATCAGCATCAGCATCAGCATCAGCATCAGCATCAGCATCAGCATCACCAACATTATCATCACCACCACCACCATCATCATCATCATCAGCATCATCACCATCATCATCATCATCATCCTCATCCTCATCATCATCATCATCATCCTCATCATCATCATCATCATCATCATCATCAGCATCATCAGCATCATCAGCATCATCAGTATAAGCATCAGCATCAGCATCATCATCCTCATCATCAGCAGCAGCTGCATCATCATCATGACAATGCACATATCAACGGCATCAGGGGGGGGCCTGCGAGGGGGGTCCGAAAGTGGCTGGGGGAAGTCCGATCTGTGGTGGGGGAGGGCAGTCCCAGGTCAGACCGCCCACCCCCCCAGGAGTCCAGGCGGGTCCCAGGGGTTGGCGCCAGCAGGGGTCCCCGGCGAGATCCCGCCATCAGGGTCGGCGGTGCAGGCCGCACCGCCTTCACCATCAAAGCGTTCTCCCTCGCGAGGCATTCTGGGAGTCAACTTGCCAGCTTGTTACTTTCTGTTCATTGCTTAGGGGGCAGAAACGCAGTGTTGCCCTTCGAAGCTTGCTACAGCGAAGCTGAGGTACGTCCAACGCGGATCACCTCGGTACCTCGCCGCCCCCTTGGGGGGCTTGCGATCTGCGCAACTGTCCCCAGTTTCGTGGCCTCCTGGGAGGCCCAGCGGAGGTACGTCCCACGCGGACCACCACTATAGCTCGCGGTGCCCTGGGTGGCTGCCCCTGGGGGGGCTTGCGATCTGGTCAACTGTCGCCACTTCCGTGGGCTGCTGAGAGGCCCAGCGGAGGTACGTCCCACGCGGATCACCTCGGTACCTCGCCGCCCCCTGGGGGGCTTGCGATCGGCGCAACTGTCGCCAGTTTCGTGGCCTCCTGGGATGCCCAGTGCAGGTACGTCCCACGCGGACCACCACTACAGCGGGCGCCCCTGGCCTCTGGGAAGCAGCTCTGGAGGGGAAGGATCGCGGGCCGCTGGGGGGGGCTCTGAAGCAGTCTGGGATAGACGTTGGACCCCCATTGGACCGCCTTGGAAGGTTCGTGGGCCGAGCAGGCGGGCAAACAAACATCTTACAAGCAACGATGGATCATTAAAGATTTGCCCGTCGCGGGCCCCGCTTGAGTGCCCTCTGGGAGCGCCTTGAAGCGTCTTGGGGGCCCCTGGGGCTACTTGGAGCCACCGTGGGCGTCCTGGAATGCTCTTGGCCCGTGTCCGATGCCTCTGGCATCGTGTTGGGGTGTCCTGGAGTCGGTTCGCCAGCTTGTCATTTTTTTCTCGCGTACGAGCAGAAGTGCACCGTTGCCCTTCGAAGCTGGCTACAGTGCTACAACGAAGCTGCTGCCGACTTGAACCCTCAAAGGGATACGTGCCCTTTACACTCTGCCATAGGAATGGTTACATACATACATACATACATACATACATACATACATACATACATACATACATACATACATACATACATACATACATACATACATGCAGGCAGGCAGGCAGGCAGGCAGACATGCATGCATACATACATGCACACATACATACACGCATACATGCATACATGCATACATGCATACACGCATACACGCATACATACATACACGCATACATGCATACATACATACATACATACATACATACATACATACATACATACTTACATACATACATACATACATACATACATACATACATACATACATACATACATACACACATACATACATACATACATACATACATACATGCATTCATGCATACATACATACATACATACATACACGCACACATGCATGCATGCATGCATACGTACAGACAGTCAGACAGACAGACAGACAGACAGACATGCATGCACACCTGCAAGCATGCATACATACATGCATGCACGCATGCGTGTATCTCACATACATACGTGCATACATACATACCATACCATACCATGCCATGCCATACAATGCCATGCCATGGCATACCATACCATACCATACCATACCATACGTACTTGCGTGACACCATATACCACACTATACCATACCATACATACCATACCATACCATACCATACATACCATACCATACCATACCATACCATACCATACCATATACTATACCATACCATGTACGTACATACCTACACACATACACAGTGAGAATCAGGCCGCCGATGCTCAACGCCCGCCACTATCATCTGCCAAACAGCCCGCAGCAAATGCCTGCCTGGGGCCCAGCCACGAAGAAGAGGATGCACCCCCAGCAGGCGAAACACGAGTCAGCTGCTCGCGAGTTTGGACAGCAGCTTACGCAGGCAGGCGCACGCTGGCCCAGTGGAAACTCTGGGCGGCTGCCGGCCCCTCGCTCCGAATGAGGCGGGCTCGGCACTCTACACGACGTCCCCTCCGCGCGCGCTCCCCGGTGCCGATCCGGGCAGAGGGAAGCGCGCGGTGCCTTCATCTGCTTCAGGATCCCGAACACCTCGCTCGAAGCCGGCACATACGCCTGTTCCGGCGGTTCCAACACGCCCGCTCGGCACGAGTGTGCTTTCGGGATTGCGTACTCATGTGGGCGCGGCGGCACACAACTGCCGACTCGTAAGGAGAAGGCAACTCTAACCGAGCACCTTGCACGTACGTCATGCCGCCCACTGCGGAGAGTGAAGCCGCAACCAATTGTGACTAAGAGTCGGCCCCTCATCGTGACTAAGAGTCGGCCCCTCAGCGAGCACGAGACTATACGGGACACCGAAGGCAAATCGACCCAAACCAATCCACCGCACAAAGCGGAAAAACAAGCGGTGAGAGGGAAGACAGAGCGGAAGGAGGCAAGGAAGGGAGGAAGGAGGGAGGGGAAGATGGAGGAGCATTGAGAGAAGAAGGCGGGACTTGAAGGAGTGGAAGCCGAGGAGGGAGTGGAGGAGGGAGTGGAGAGACTGATCCAAGGGAGGGACTCTGGGGTTGTGGATGCCATGACCATGGACACTCTAACAATCCTATCATGGAATAAAACATGTGTTTAAACTGTGTAAAACATGTTCCAACAATGTGTCAAACATGTTACATGTTGAACATGTTTGAAACATTTTTCTAGACATCTGGAAATTATTTTGCAGCATGCTTCCTCTCCACCAATCGACTTCCACCATTCTGGGGGGAGAGAAAGAGCTGCCTGCTTGAAGGTGGGCTGCTGGCCGTAGTAGCCCGTGCCAGGGCCTGAAGCGATGCGCACAGGCCATGTGCGCGGCTTCGCGAGGGTCCCAGTCGGCGTCAACCTCGATCATGGATCCTCGATCCTGCTCGATCCTCGATCCTCCTGGATGCTCGATCCTCCCCGATCCTCTTCGATTCTCGACTTCCCTCGATCCTCCTCCTGGTGCATCCTCGAATTACCTCCCCCTGCTCTCTCGAACTCTCTCCCCCCGCTCCCCCTGCCCCCTCGCCCGTGTGGCCACACTTGGCCCCCGGCTGTCCTCCGCGGGCCCCCCCTCGTGTCCTTGCCCGCCTCCCCCAACACGTGCAGCCAGGGCGCGCTGACAGCACAGGACAGGTCGGCAGAGACACCAAACCTCGAAGTGCGAGGCGGGGGTGTACCCAAACAGCGGAACAGACAAAAGCATTACACCAGAGAAAAAAAAAATCAAAGGATGGTTTGATCGATAAAAAGATCGACCGGGAACCCGGGAACCAAGAACCCACCGAACTCGGCCCGGAACCAATAACCAAAAACCCGGGAACCTGGAACCGGGAACCCAGGAACCCAGCCAGCCACCAAAATCGGCGGGACAGTTTCGCCACAATCTTCCAATTTCCGCTAGGACCCCTTCAGTGCAAGCACTGATGGGGGAATAAACACAAACTTTTGAGATCCACACGCCGATCCAAGGAATCCGCGCGGACCTTCACACGTGGATGTGTATGCCTCTTTGTGCTTCGGCGATAGCCACCGCCTGGAATTTCGGGGACCTCGGCAGGCAGTGGACATCGATACACTTTTGGCCCCCCAGCGCCCGAATATATACATGAACACCTGCCGCCGAGGTCCCCGAATGTCGATCCCCAGACTGTGATTGTGGATAAACTCCCGCCCTGGACGAAGGTCCACGCGGACTTCTTGGATCGGCACTGGACCCACCCTCTCGGGCATGCGTAGACACGCCACGGGCGGCGCTGGAGGCGCCGCGGCACCGCCAAAGGATCCAGCGCCGACCTGAGTTATCTAGGCGGACTCCCGAGTTCATTGTTTACGCCTCGAGTTGAGAGGAGCGCTAGGAGGCTCCTCGCGACTAGGCAACCACATGTGAACATGTGAGCTATACCTCCGCAGGTAAGATTTCCAGGAAACCAGCTGGGGGTCCGAACTTGAAGGATATCTGCAGCCAAGTGAACCGCAGGAGGCAACTCCAGGGAGGTCTTCGTGGAACGATCACGTAGGGTCTATTAAGACTGATGAAAGAAGCCACTGAGCCAAATACGCCGACCCTATCGGCGTGTGGAAGACGTCTTTCATTCGTCGTCGTCGTCGCCATCGCCGGCGCCGTCGCCGCTCTCCCGCGTCGTCGTCGTCGTCGTCGTCGCCGTCGCTGTCGCCGTCACCGTCGCCGTCGACGTCGCCGCTCCCCTCCTGTCCCTGGGCCTGGGCCCTCCTCCTCAAGCGCGCCCACCAAAGCGAAACTGAGCAACGCCGCAATTGAGTTGGAGGGAAGCTCCTTCCGTTTGATCCCTTCCACGCCCGGGGGGGGGGCCGGGGGGGGGGCGTCGAGGGGGAGATCCTGGGTGGGTCCCAGGGCGGAATGCCATCCCCACCGGGGGGTCCGAGGGCTCTAAAACCCAAAACGGGCCAAGGGTGCTCCTGGAAGCCTCCAAAATGGTCCAAGAGGGCCGCGAATCGCCAAATTGTCCGTCGCAGGACCCACAGGCAGTCTCCAGACGGTCCAAGACACCTCCCAGACGCTCCATGAGGCCCCCGAGAGCACTACAAAAAGGGGCCCCAGCTTAAAATCAGTGATTTTCGGAACGTGTTTGAAAGATTTTGGTGTTCTCGCCTTCTTAGCTTCCCGACGCTTCAAGACGGCCCCAGAGGCCTCCACGATCGGCCCCAGATCGCCCCAAGATAGCCTCAGAAGTCTCCAAGAGGTCCCTGAATCGATCCACGAGGGCCCCCAAACAGCCCAAGAAGCCTCCAAGACGGCCCAAGAGGCCCCAAAGCCAGCGTCCAGAGCGTGCCCACCACACAAGGGACTCGAAAGGAGCTTTGGAACCTTCGGCCCCAGAGCCTCCCAGGAGGCCCCAAGAGGACCCGAAAGGCCTCTCAAGAGGCCCCTAGAGGCCCCCAAGGGGCCCCAAGGAAGACCCAAGAGACCCTCAGAGGCTCCTAAGCGACCCCCCAGAGGATCTGGAGGACCCAAGAGGCAACCCCCTCCTCGTTCACCTGCTCCATCTCCCTGTACTCCTCGCATACAGGGTCGGCGGCACCGGCAGTAAGGTCTTCACAATAAGCCAAAATAAAGACCGTGACAAAGCCCGTCTACAACGGATTAAACAGCAATGAACAGGGTTGCATGGGATCACGCCGCATCAACCCGGATTTCGACCGCGGATATGCCCGCGCCGATGCTGAACGCGACCTCAAAGGGTTTGCATCCTGAGCCAGTCCCAGCAGGGATGTCCGAGACAACAGCGTCGACTGGAACCGCAGAGACAGGACTCTTTGAGGGGCAACGACTGGGGTGGACTGGCAAAGGGGGGAACATCTCGATCTGGGATCGGCGTTACTTCGACAATAGATGGGCGATAGGATCCTGGTCGTGAATCCGCACGTTCCTGGGCTGGGGCCTCGCGGCCACGCGGAGAGGCAAGAGTCCTCTCTGTTTCTCATGCAGAAGCGATCCAAAGCGGCCCCCAAAAGTCCCTCAATAAGCACCAAGAGGCCCGCGAGAGGCCCAAACGAGTCCCAAAGATGGCCCTCAAGACGCTTCAAAACTGCCCCCAAGAGGCTCCGCACGACACCCAAACCTTCTCGGGGTCGGCGGACTGGCGTAAGCCTCTTGGATTCAAGCACTCCTCGCGGCCATGCTTGGTTAATATACATTCTCTGGTGCTGTGGTCTGACCACAGCGTGATTTTGTATGCGTCTACGGAGCAGCGAGGAGGCGAAGGAAGGGGCCCAGGGACACACAACTACACATTAGCCATGCATGTATGTACTTGTATGTACAATCCCATATTGCCAATACGCCTGCATATGTTCTGGATGTTGGATCTCCCCAGCAAACTTCTTACAGTTTCCCATATTGTGGGGATCGACGTTTATGTGTCAGTATCAAACGTCACATCCTGAGCGCGAAGTCCGATGATGCGGGGGCAGTGCGTGATTACAACCACATCCAGGACGCCCCCTCGGGGATGGCCTGCGCATGGACGCAATCGTCAGAACACCCTGGGCGGCCAAATCGACCACGACCACAACCAGAGTGTTCATGTCGAGGTCGGCGGCTTCTCCCCCGAGGGGCCCTCCAGAAAAAATCCGCCGACCATGTCGGCGTTTGCGAGAGGCTGTTCCGTTTGAGTTATCGTCGTCGTCGCCGCTCCCCCTCAGGCGCTCCAGCCAGAAGGAAATCGAGTAACAGCGTGACGCAATCGAGTCGCATGGAAGTCTCTTCCCTTTCATCCATCCCCCGTTGGGGGGGGTGTCCCAGGAGGGAGCACCCCTCCCTGGGAGACGCTTTCGGCTCCAGAGCGTCAGCGTCGCCGCCGTCATCGCCGTCGTGGTCGTCGTCGTCGTTGCCCTTCAGGGTCGGCGGCACCGGCTGGAAGGCCTTCGCATGCAATCCACTTTGTTGTGGTTGTGGCTCTCTGTTGTGCCCAGAAACGGAGGCCGATGAGCGCTGCCGCCAGTGCCCTTCGGACCCCAAGGCTGGACGACCACTGGCAGGCCTGAGCTGGATCCAATCGCGGATCGGGCTGGAAACGGATCGGATCCCCAACGGATCGTTCCGAATCGAATCGGCATCGGATCGCCGCGCCTGGCTCTGGCTGAACCTGGCCGACGCCAGCGAACCGAACCGAATCGAGTCGGATCGGGTCGTAATCGCGGCCCCAGCGGGCGAATTGAATCGCATCGAATCGGATCGCAGCCGCCCAGACTAGACCGAGACGAGGGCAAGATGCGGCCAAGTCCACATGAGAGTAACTGAAGAATCTCTGAGTCGGCGGGCGCGGAGGTACCCTTACTTGAAAAACCACCCATCTTTCTGATCGTGTCCGACCGCACTGTGGTCTTCCCCACCCCCGTGGGCGAGAAACATGTCCGCATCCGCGGCCTCGCGGGCCGGGCCCCTGGGCCGCCACCCCACGGATACGGGGCGTTGTGTCGCGGATCTCCCGCGCGCGACGTGTCCGTGCGACCACGCATCCGCTATGTACGGCCGAAGGGTCAGGTCAGCAGACACCCAGGCACGGGCGTCACGGAGTGCAACCACTCTGCGCGCTGCAACCGCGCGTTTCCACCGCCCCCCCCCTTGATGCACTCCCTTGACGCCACTGCCTTGATGCACTCCGTGACGTCCCCTTTTCCGGTGGTCCTGCAAAGGAGGGCGCTCTCTGACCCTCAGCCCTGCAACCCCAGACATTTTTTTGGTCTGCGCGTCGAGAGCGGGCCTCTTGCGGTTAAGAGCTAGGAGGGGCGCGCAAAGCACTCATTGGGGAGACAGGGCGCGGGTGGGCGGGGCCTCAGGCGGCCGGAGGGCACGGGGTGCAGGCGGTGCCGAAGAGCTTGCACAGGAAAATGTACGCCTTGGACAGGAGCCGGAGGCGAAGTCCCGGAGGGAGAGCGAAGTGGTGTTGCCGTCGACGGCGCGTCAAAATCACCATCCTCGAGTGCTGCTGCAACCCCAGACATGCGACGTCCTGATTTTTCAGGACGGCCTCCCTGGAATTCCCGACCCTTTCCCAGGGGCCTGTTTTTCGTCCTGAATCGTTTTTTGACGGTCCCGAGACCCGGCGAGGGCCACCCCCGGGGCCGAAAATAGCCAACAACCTCCCGTCCTGATTTTTTTACGACGCGATCATGTCTGGGACCGCATCCGCGGGATCGCGCCCTGGACTCCAGACCGCGAGGGTGAGGGTACAGACACGCTCGCCGCGAGCGGCCCCTGGGCTGCGTACGGCGGTGCCGCCGAAGGAGCGGCCTAGGGCCAGGCAGGCCAGCCCCCCACACGCCCCCGCCCCCCCTCTGGAGCAGGGACCGCCAGTGGCGGCATGCCTCTAGGCTCAGGTCGGGCGTGTCCCCCTACAGGCGGCTTCTGGGCGACAAAATAGGAATACGAAAACAAATACATCAAACAATGGGCAAGCAAAAACCATCAACAAATCGTCCCCATACAATTTTTGACTGTATTTGAAGATTCCTCCTGTGGAGGGAGCTGCCCGACTTAACTCTAGGCCTACCGCGACATCTTCTCATAACAGAAGGATGCTCTCAGAGCACAAACAACGCTCGCGTAACATAAGAGTCGATGCGCGAAAGCAAGACGGTCTCAACCAAAAGTGTTCCGAGAACGTTTCCTGCAGACCGCAGCAGGTCCTGAGAGCACTCTCAGGTGGGCCCACACGTTAGCCAGGACGCTTCGGCACTGCTTGACTCCCAGGGCTCATCCTGGCAAGCATTTCGAGCCGCGTCCAGCCGCGGTGACGAGGACCTCCAAAAGCGCCCGCAGCGGCGTCGTCGTCGTCGTCGTTCTCGTCGTCGTCGTTCTCGTCGTCGTCGTCGTCCCCTGGCGCCTGGCTCCTGCCGGCTGCCCATCTGGGGGAGGGCCATGATCAGCCTGCCGGGGCCGGGGCCGTGCGAACGGGGTCCGCCCACGGGATTCGCATACTGTGCGCAAAAGCCTTGGAGGGGAGCGAAGGTCCTGTGCCGCAGGTTTGGTGCACCATATTCCTTCCCTGGGGCGTCGTTTTTTTGTAGAGCGGTAGGTCTGACTGGGGCGAGGGCGGAGGTATGCAACAGATCTTCAGGATGGGGAGGGGCGGTAGCTCCTTCGGAGGCGAGGGGGGACGTCGAAGGCAGAGAAAGGGAAATGCAAAGGGGGCCCTGAGATCTCGCCGTTGCAATTTTTCACAGGATGAAAAGCCGGTCCCAGAGAAGGGGTTCAGACCTCACGACGTTGGGGTCTGGGTCTCTTCACCCCTGTTTCCCCCGATCCTCCCCTCCTGCCGCACCAGCGGGATGAAACGAGGCAAGGGCAGCGGTATCGGCACCCTTTCCCTGACTCCCTCTCCTCCCAATGTCTTCCCCCGCCGCCTCCCACTGAGGATCGTAATCATCGACAGGGCCAGGTGCATCTCTCCAGCGCGGAGCTTTTTGGAACTGTTTGGACGACGTCGCATGCAAGTGGCACGGGCGGCACATCGGTATTCGTGGCCAACTGCACAATAGGTCGTGGCCAACTGCACAACAAGCGGGCAGAGTGCTTTCGTTTACGGGGGAGAAGGAGGAGGAAGGGGAAGAAGAGGAGAGAGAGGAAGAGGAGGAACAAGAAGAAGAGGAGAAGGGCGAGAAGGAGGAGGAGGAGGAGGAAGAATTGTTGGTTACCCGCAGAATCAAACACGTTCGTCGACCATCCGTGAGTCCGTGGCGGCGAGCGGCCCGCAAGCGGGCACACGCCCAATTGGGAGGATGGGGCGGAGGAGGAGGAGGAGGAGGAGTGACTACCTACCAGACCCGAAGACCCGAATTTCGGGTTGGGGGGGGATGGGCTCCACATGTGTTTTTTCTATGTTCCCCGACCACCCCCCCCACTGGAAAAGGAGGGCAAATTGAAGCCTTCGGGTTGGGTTGGGGTGGTTTGATAGGTGGTGAAGGAGGAGGCGGCGGCGGCGGCGGCGGCGGAGCGCGCTTCTCCCTGATTCGCATCATTTGTTCCTCTCCCTCCCGCTGCATCGACGAGGGCGGCCAAACGGCGGCCCACCAACTGGGACGCCTGCGCTGCTCGGGCGTGATGGCATCCAGGAGCAGCATCTCGTGCCTGCGGAGGGCGCCGGGCCGCAAGAGAGGGGGAGAGGAGGAGCGAGGAGTAAGGGGAGGGGAAGGGGGAGGATCGAGGAGGATCGAGGGGGAGAATGGGGGAGCAGACGGAGGCGTGGGACGGACGCTCTCGCTGGCAAGGATCGGGGGTCGAGGATGAGCAGCGAGGAGGAAGAGGAGGAGCGAGGAGGAAGGGGAGGGGAAGGAGGGGGATCGAGGAGGATCGAGGGGGAGAATGGGGGAGCAGACGGAGGCGTGGGACGGACGCTCTTGCTCACGCGCGCTGGGTCGGGGGCTTCTCCACAAGCGGAGAGGGCGCCGTGGCTCCCGAGCGAAGAGGGGACACTCAGCACCGCTGGGCTGAGGGATCCGCCCCTCAGCACTACCACCACGTCGATTCCTCCTCCTACCCTCCTCTGCCTCTCCTGTTTCCTGGGAGAGGGAGGGGGTGAGGGAGGCAGTGGTGGTGTATAGTTGTGGGCCCCCCATCTCTGGAGCATCCTGGCGCCCCTCCCCCATGGCCGACCTCGACCTCCAGCGGTGATGACCTGCGCGCGGCGCTCGATGTCGAATGCCGCGCGCAGGGCATCCCTGCTGGAGGTCGAGGTCGGCCATGAAGGGTGCGCCAGGGGCGGTTCCCTCAGCCCAGTGGTGCTAATCGTCTCTTCTTCGCCCATGGCAGGCATCGAGCATTCGAGCTAAAACTAAGTGGTGAGAGCTGGTGCAGCGCGAGCGCGGTGCCAAGATTGAATGGGGGCAAGGCCGCATGGGGGAGAAGGTTCGGAAGTCTCGTGAGAACGACTGAGGAACTCAGGTGGATCAAAATCGGGATCAATCCGGTTTATGCTGGACGAAAACCACGTACTCAACGCCGATGCTGGATGTCATCTCCCAGGAGTTGCATCCAAAACCCGGGGAGGGGGGAGGGAGAGCCATGAGGAATTGGGCAACGAACAGGAGACGATTGTCCATACCGCCATCCAAGAAGAAGCGGCGGAAACGGCAAGCCCTGGGGTGAGGATGGCTCTCAAGCCCGATCAAATCCGAGCAAATTTGGGACGTCACCTCGCACCACAGCTGTTACCTGGCGGGGGTGGCACCCAGGCAGCACTGCGCTGCGTGTAGATTGCGTTCTAAAGCGAGGTCAAGGGGGAAGAGAGGAAGGAGGAGGAGGAGGAGGAGGAGGAGGAGGAGGAGGAGGAGGAGGAGGAGGAGGAGGAGCCCTCACGGGAGAAAGACTCCCAGGAGAGAAAAAACTGAAAGCGGTGAGCGGATGCGTGCATGTATGCGCGCTTGCGTCCAAATGTGGGCGCGCCCGTAGGTGAATGCGACGCGCAATTCGTCCAGCAGCCGTACTGAAGGAAACAAGATAGCGGTTTCTGTATAATTTCAGCGACAGCGGCCATCAGCATCCCTGGCCGCCCCCCCTACACCGCCAAGGTAACCTCACGATTCGTGCTGACCTCCGCGCTGGCTTTGGTTATTCCTGGGCATTCCCAGACGGCGCCGGCGCGAAACGTGACGTCACTGGGCCTCCGCCTCCCTCCCCCCCCCGTTAACGCCCGCCTGGGAAAGCAAAGCAAAGCTCTCCCGGGAGAGGGCACACGAGCCTCGGAGAAAAAAAGCGAACACTCATGCCGCACTCATCTGTCAACGCCTCCCCCTCCCCCCAGTGTTCAAAGTTGGCGGTGGGTCTGATGAGTTGCACCTCGACTGCACCTCGATCGCAGTCTCCCACACGCTTTGTGGCCCAATGGTGAGCTCCACCGAAGGACCCAAAAGGCTGCGTTCGCACGCCGCCGCTCCCATCAATGTGGCACACCCCTCGCACGTTCCGTAGCACCACATGGGAACTCCACCTAAGGTCCCAAAAGGCTGCGTTCGCATGCCGCCACCCCGCTCACCCTAGCTGTGGTGCATCTTTCACACGTTTCGTCGCCCCATCGGATGCCCCACCGAAGCCCCCAGTTGCTGCGTTCGCATGCCGCCACCCTCCTCACGTTGTCATTCCCTCACACGCTTCGTGGCCCCATAGGGAGCTCCAACTAAGGCCCCAGTGGCTGCGTTCGCATGCTGCCCCCCCCTCACGTTGGCACAATTCTCGTACGCTTCGTGGCCTCATAGGGAGCTGGGGCGAAGGCGCCAGTGGCTGCGTTCGCATGTCGCCGCCCGCATCACGTTGGCACACCCTTCACACATTTCGTGGCCCCATCGGGAGATCCACTGGTTGCGCTCTCATGCCGCCCCCCCCCTACTCTGGGACACCCCTCACGCGCTTCGTGGCCCCACAGGGTGCTCCACCGAAGGCCCCAATCACTGCGTTCGCACGCCGCCACCCCCACTACTTGGGCACACGCCTCACACGCTTCGCGGCCCTATAAGAAGCTCCACCTAAGTCAGGCCCCAATGGCTGCGTTCGCATGCCGCCACCCCCATCACGATGACACACCCCTCACACGTTTCGCGGCCACATAAGGAGCACCACCTGAGGCCCCAGTGGCTGCGTCCGCATGTCTCCTGCCACTCCCCCGGGCGACCGTCAGCTGCAACGGGTTACATCGGCATGTCGCACGTATCGTCTGACCTCCGCGCCCCCAGCAGGCAGCGCCAGCATGGCGGCCCCGCCCTTCCTCGGCGCCCCATTCAAGCGCTTCATGGCCCCATAGGGAGCTACACCGAAGCCAGTTCTCACACCTGCATATGGCTGGGTCCTTCGCCAGGATAAATTGTTTTCGGTGCACCCAATTTTGGAATCCTGAAAAAAACGGGCGGTGTTTGACTGAGTTCGGCAAGCAGGCACGACGACGCGCGCGCGTGTGCACTTCGTCCCAGTTGCTGCTAAGGATGTGTGGGAACTGCTGAATTTGGATGCACGGGTGCGCGCGCATAGAACTGTTTGCAGAGGGTAAAGGGGGGCAACGAACGTATGCCTGGGATGATACGGATTCATAATTCGGATGGACAATGGGGCATAGCCGAACACACATTGCAATATGATAAGGTGACGCGTGAAGTCTGGGGGGGAGGTAGATCCTAACAATATTCTGGAGAACAAGTGAACCTCTGTGATGGTGCACAATATATGCGGGGCTATCGACGTGGTGCAACAGATGTGGTGCGATATATGTGGTGCGAGCTACGTGGAGCAACGTATGTTAATCCGGCGACGACGTAGCAGACAGACCGACACCCAGGCTCAAAACGTGCGGCGACGAGGCGGTGACGGCACGGACATAGCTGCCAGACCGACACCCAGGCCCATTTCCTTCAACAATAAATCAGAACCCCTAATGGCAAGCAATGCTCGGGGAATCGATCTGTACACGGAATATCATACGCACCTCTCCGAGGGAGTAAAGCTCATAGGCGATTCTGGTTAAAACTCCAGATGGTGTTTTCCTGGCCGCTACGCTAGGGACTACCGTCACGTCAAGCTTCTGAAAACCGGTGGTTTCTTCCACGCAGATCGTGACGTCCAGGTCAACTAAGCAAAACTGTTTGTGTATCTTTTAACAAAATCCCTGGCAGAAACCCGCCGGGATTCACTGACTTTGAGCCCGATTCTCTGGAAATGCCTCCAAACATCGAGCCCCTGCTGAAAACGATTATTCGGGAAAAAAGGCGTTTGGCCTGAGACATCAACCC